AAGCTTGCATAGTAATTTGTCACGACAAGAGCCGAAGTGACAATAGACGGTGTAAACATTGACATTTTGTAATACTCTTATTTGACTTATTTAATTACTGCGCAAGCTCATTAGTAGAAGCTCTCGATTATAATTGTTAAATAAATATTTAATATCCTATTGTATTTAAATCATTTTGCAACCAAGTATAGACTTGTTAGTGGTTTCCACATATTAGGGGTATGCAAAAGTTTCCATCGTTTTTAAGGCAATGTTTTTTTATTAATGTTATTATAAATTACATAGTATCTTTAATCAAAATATTTTCCGGCATTATTTACTACTTTTCGCCGTTTTTTAAGCAAAAGATGGATACTATCATAAAAGAAGTCTTTACTCTTAAAATAAATAAAGTTATCGATTAATTGTTTCCTTAACATTGCGAAATCGTGTGCCAGATAAACGGTGCTGCATAGAACGAAATAAGTGAAAATAACTGACTCCTCATTACAATCCCATTAAAGTTTCCCGGGTCGTCAATGTAACATGGGACCTGATATTATCGTGCAGAAGAATCATTTTGTTTTGCTTTGTCGAAAAATACGGTCGTTTCCCGATCAATTGATCATTTAACTGCCTTAATTGTTGACTGTATAATTCCGCGATGATAAATCTGAGATGGTTTTAACAGTTCATAATACAGGACTCCTTGCATGTCCTATCAGATACACAGGAGGACTTTATGACCATGAATATTTCATTTTGACTGTGACGTAGAGAGTCGGAATTTACCCACGATCTTTTGCGCTTAGGATTGTCATAATAAATCCATTTTTCGTCTCCGGTCACAATTCGATACAAAAGAGGCTTGTGTTTGTGTCTATTGAGTAGCAAAAGGCAAATGATGACTCGGCTGGCAATAACGTTCTCAGATAATTCACGGGAAACTCATTTTCTTTCCTTCAGAATTTTCCCCATCTCATGTAAGCGTCGAATTATAATGCTCTGATTAACATATAACCTTTTCGCAAGTTTTACATTCAATTGAGTCGAATTTTCTTGCAATAACGCTTCCAAGTCATCCGAACCCATCTCTTGCGGTCGCTCGGCATGCTCTTTGCCTTTCAAATAAAAATCGCCACATTTAAAGCGTCGAAACTACTTACGACATGAACTTTCAGCTAACGTTCCTTCACCATAAGTTTCACAAATGATTCTGGTTACTTCAGCAGCTGTTTTACGTTGATGAAGTAGAAAAACACATAGGGTGTCTTAAAAATACCGGAACCCCTAGATAACTTTGCAGGATCAAGTTTTCATGAAAAGCTTTAAATATAAAAGTTATAGAAAATCGAGTAACGAACTTGATGGTGACCTTGAATTTGACCTCGGCTATGACTTTGAAAGTCATTTGGAGGTCAACTTGCGTTTCTTAAATAGGAATCCTTACTTTTTATTACATTTTTTTCTTCTACCAATTAATTTGAACAACTTTTGTCTAAAACATTTTTTTATTTGCCTAATATTTGTTTAGATATTTGAGGAAAACTTGATATCTTTTTCAATATTTAACTTACGATATCTCGCTAACTATTTGTCGGAAGAAAAAGTGATACTAGACTTTCTTGCTTTATTTAGTCTCAAGAATATATTGTTACAATAGTGCCCTGATTTTTGTTAATTTGATGATTTTGAAATTTCCAAAAGTCAGTAAGTTAACAAAAGTCAGGGCGCTATTGCAACAATATATTCTTGAAAGTAAATAAAGCAAGAAAGTCTAGTACCACTTTTCTTCCGACAAATAGTTAGCGAGATATCGTAAGTTAAATATTGAAAAAGATATCAAGTTTTCCTCAAGTTCTCCTCAAATATTTAAAAAAATATTAGGCAAATAAAAAAATGTTTTAGACAAAAGTTGTTCAAATTAATTGATAGAAAAAACAATGTAATAAAAAATAAGGGTTCCCATTTAAAAAACACAAGTTGACCTCTAAATGACCTTCAAAGTCATGGCCAAGGTCAAATTCAAGGTCATCATCAAGTCCCTTACTCGATTTTCTACAACATTTGTATTCAAAGTTTTTCATGAAAACTTGATCCTGCAAAGTTATCCGGCGGATTCCGGTATGTTTAAGACACCCTGTATATTGACGAATATGCATCTTATCGACTTCCATCTTCATACGAATTAAAAATATTTATGTCAATAAATATGATTTATTATGCATCAGTTTCTATGCAAGTTGATCAATATTGACATACTCTAACAAAAATGTGTGGCAACTATCATATAAATAATTCACAATGCCATATGTAAATCTATATGTAAATAATGAAAATTTTTGCATGTCCCTAATATTTTTTTGAAAAATTTGGAAGCGTATTAAATAGTCACACTTGCAAGCCACTGCTCATGCGCTTGCGTGATAATCGATTATCGATAGAATCAGAAATAAGAGTACATGATGTAAAATGTAAATATTAAATTTTCATTATATCCATCAAATAACAACATAATAAAGACATTTGCCTTTCCTCCCTATGGCAGATGTTCGACTTATGAAATTTTGTATTGCGATACGATCTTTTTTAAGAATTGTGTTGAATGGTATATCACAACACAATTTGGTATCGTAAACACGATTTTAAATCGTGCGCTATTCACAAATGTCACAAATGCGGATCCTGCTCCTCCTGTTTCTACACTCCCTCCCCGAAAAAAAATTAATCTAACCTAACTTAACTCAATTTATATATTTTTGCATATGATTGGGCGTTGTGGGTTTCAAAGGGAATTTTTCAACAATGTTCGACCATACGCAAAGATGTAAGTTGGATTAGGTTAGGTTAGGTTAATATATTTTTCAGAGAAGAGGTGCAAAGGCAGGATTCTGCGCCTCCCCAGCTCATATGTGCTGTTTAACATTTTTTAAAGTACATGTCGAAAAAATAAGTTCTATTTATGAAACTTCTTTTGTTAATAACTATTTAATAAACAATAAGCGACGACTAAAATCTCATAGATTACTCAGTGAAATGACCTCAACAACATATGTCAAAGTCGAGGTAATTAGAGCTCTCTCTCTCTCTCTCTCCTTCTTTTTTTTCCTCTGATCCCCTAAAGTAAATTACTCCATCTTTCCTGAATACCTCTTATATCACCCCATCAGCTCCCTTATATCATCACATCAGCTCCTATTAAAATCTCGATTACCATGCAGGCTCATAAATAATAGCTCACAATGGCAAGCACTTGATATGTTCCTAGCTCCATCGGGAAAAATAAACCATTATGCAAACAAGCGTGTTTCTGCACACGCGTCAGCCGCAGCGATCACGAGCGTAAAACTTTTGTCGATCCACGATACGGCTGGCTGGTGGAAGGAAATCGTTAATGCGGCCAGTGGAACTTTCTAATTAGCATCGGGCGGCTGGTTTTCGCATAGTTTCGCGTGCGGAAAATCCGCACGCGCGGCGCGATTGAACGTTTGTTTCAACGGTCGCCACTGGCGACGCGCTTCCCGAGAGCGGGCCTGAATTGATGCTCGATAGGTCGAGATATCCAAGGAAATAGAATGCGACGTGGCTGCCACGATGGTGATCGTCACGATGGCCGGTCAATCGCGCCTAACTTTCAACATTGGCGCCTACGAGAGGAAGGTTAAACGAAGGTGGACGAGTGGTCTCGCGGGGATGAAGCAGAGAGGGAGCATTAACGACTTTGCTGGACGCTCGTTCTCCGATAACCACCGCGAAGGATTAGCGACGTCGAGGTCCATCGGTTCATAGGAACTCACCCGCGCCTGAGTGTATTAGCTCGCATGAAAGCAGCTACGTGGCCCTCATGACCGTCCGGAATTGGGTGGGTCAATGAACGGCTGCGCGAATCGATGTGGATGACGCAGGCACATCGCGCGACGCTGTCCCCCGCTCGCAACCTTGAACGTAAACTTGAAGACGCGCGGCTAACCGTCGTCCTCGGATCGAGGAAGTCCTGCGCGCGCGGCTCGCGAGCCCGTAGTTGAGCTGTGCGCCAACTCCGAATAACTGTCGCTCGGGCCAGCTATGATTAACGCTATTGCGTCATCGGAAGCATCGAACTGTTGTGCCGCGGGCGTTGTGGAGACGATTAAAATTGAATTAAAGCAGCCTCATAGGTCGATAGACGTGCCTCTTGAAGCGCCGAAAGTTAATTGATGCTCTGTTAACTGATAAAACTCGTCTGGAAGTGATAAGAAGGGGCATTTTTTAAAGCGTCAGCGCTGGTTTAATAAGATTAGACTCTTGACCTTATATAAATTTCAGGCTGAAGGCGCTCTCGTTGCTTTATGGACGATGAGGATCCGTCTGTACCTCGGTTACTTAAGCATTTAAATCAAGTACGGTCATTAGTCACACAAAAGAGCCGGCTTAAATAATCGGGCGAGATTTTCAAGCTCGAAAATCTTTGCACGAACAATGGTATTCTTTGAACAAAGAGCCGCCCCTCCAGCAGTTGCTGAAGCGATTATTTCACTCTCGATAATTTGATATCGGATAATGCAAGCAGATAATGTCTCCTCAGAGTAAGGTCAGCGAAGTACAAGGTCGTGTGCACAAGTGACTTCACGTAAGCATGTCATCAGCATATCAGAGCCAAGAACCACAACAGCTCATGCAACTCTTGGCCGGAACTTCAACCCCCTGATCCGTGATTCATCCTAATCAGCAGCGTTAATTATTGGCCATTGATCGCGCACGCGATAAAATTATCTCCGCAAACACCTTTCGCCGGGTCAATTATTATCGTCACGGAAATCTTTAATTGATCCTAAACGATACGGATCACCCGTCAATTACATGGTCAATGACTAAGGCTCGGCCGGCTTGCGGTCACCCTTGACGTTCACGCACCCCCGAGCACCCACATCAACTTTGGATCGCGAGTGGGTGTTCACGAGTGGGGTTCGTCGGGCGAAGCAGGGGCAGGGAGGGCGTCTGGTGGGGATGGAATAAAATCACCGAGTCCGCGGGGAGGCAATCCAGGACAGTCAGTCGATCGAGCGACGCGGGTGGTGACGGTTGATCGTCGGTGTTCATTCATCGGCTCGAGCTCTCAAAAAGCGAGGCAAGGGGTTCCTATAACGTCCGGAAGGAAGAGGAGAGACAGAAAGGGAGATAGAGAAGGGTAGAGAAGGACCGATCATGCGTACGTAGAGGACGAACGTTCTCGTCGTGGACGATGCCGCGAAAACTCTCGCCCCAAACCACCCCACGACGACCAAGTGTGCGCATCACGACCGGCTCGCGGCTCAGTCGACGTTACGTCGCGTCCTTCGGCGTGAGTAGAGAGTACGATCGGCCGGTCTTCTCGTCGGTCACCCTCGGCGAACCGGTGATCTCATCGGCGAGGAGCGTTCCTTCTCTCCCGCGAGCAATCGTTCGGCTTGATTAGACGACAGAGCGAAAGAGGAGGAAGAGGAGAGGTTGCTCCACAAGGATCGTCGCTCTCTCACTGGATGTAACGAGTGAGTAAGAAAACCTCGTTCTCGAAGAGGATTCCCGACCGCGTGCGTCGCGCCACTCTTGCTCGCGCTCTCGCATGGATTGTGACGCCGGAGCAGCGGGGAGAGGCGGGACATCCACGTGTGCATGACGCGTAGATCGCGTAGAGTTGCACCGCGTCGGTTGATGGATCTGTTGCACCAACAGCATCGCACTCGCTCTCGCGACGACCAAGTGCTGCTGATTGACCGACTTCAGCTCCGCTTCTTCTGCATTGTTCAGTGTGGCAATGTACCGCGAGCTCGTGAACTTGGGTCATACGTATGAGCGGTGTCAATCTCGATATACGGCAGGCCTGACATTTTTTTAGTCCTTTCTGGTTGTTTCGGTCGGTTGGTTTTGGTGCAATGGCGTTAACTTCATATCGGGCCGATAAATCGTTCCTGTAACTTTGAACGGAAGTCGTTATCGTCGTGTTATTGTTGTCGCAGCTTTTTTACTGTTATGCCTGCAGTTTTCGCGAACGGAATTACCCCGTTTTTCATGGGGAACATAACAGAAGCCTAGAGATTAATTGAATAGTTACAATCGGAAGCTTTTCTGCGAAGAGCTTCATGATAATCATTCTCTTTGGCGATTTATTCGTAACTTGTAACTTTGAACGATAATCGTTATCATTGTTGTCGTTGTGCAGGTATAATATTAATAGATTCTATCGATACATTATACGAAAACTGCGCCATTGCACCGTAATGTTGACACCGTCATTAGAAGTTACAGATTAATACACACGGCGAATATTGCCGAACTATTTGAAAAGATTTCCAGCCGAAATTGTTCAATCATTCTCTAGATTTCTCTACAGCGAGAATGTAATAATTCCGATCAGAAACTTTTCTGAATAGTTTCATAATACCTGCCCAGGGGAGTAATGGAGACAGGACTGTGGAAAATTGGGACTGGACGAATTGGAAAAAACGAACAAAAGTCAAAATTGGTCAATTCGTCGGATTTTAATCTCTAACTCTCAATCTGCGATGTCTACTCTAGTAGCGACGATTAATTGTTTTTTTTTAAATTGTAACTTCTCGATCGTGATTCACGTGAAAACATATCAGCATGCGGCATAAACATTCATCGTAGCATACAATTGGTTGCAAAACGCGGCAAAACTTCTGAAAACGTCCATGCTCCGATTTAGCTCAAAAAGCTTCAATACTAAATAGGATAGGTTTTATTTTTTCAGATAAAAAATAAATATCCCAAAAGGATATTTGGCGACTCAAATGTTAACTAGTTTATTTAGATAATTATATATATTAAAGGATCGCCGATCACCTTGACCTTGACATACAGGGTGAACAAGATAAAGCGTTACGAATTTTTATTTATTAAGAGTACTATTTCTAAAGAAAGTTATTTTAAACAAAAGTTGCAATATCTGAAGGAAGATATAAGTCGATACTTACTATAGAAATGTTTTAGGTGACGGTCTTCAAGATCATTTCAAGATCAAATTAATTTTTTAAGCAGGATATTTTTTTAAGCGGATATTTTTTATACCGAAAACTGAAAAAGCGTTGAATTTTGCGTAATTTTGTGTATGAAATGTATCTTGAAATATTTTTCTGAAACGGAAATTTTTAATGATAGTTTAGAAGACATCCGCGTTTTATAATCAAACTGAACAAATCTCGAAAATGTTAATCACTTAAAATCCTAACTTATCTAACCTAACCTACTTATTTGATCTAAGTTCAAGATTGTCTTATATGTGTATGCATATATTCCTCAGCTGAATCCAGAATCTACTGAGTCGCCAGAAATCTTCTGATATATTTCTTTGTTATCTAAAAACAACCTATATATTTACAAAATTCGAGCTAAAGCAGAGTATGAGCTGTTTTCGGAACAATAAGTAAATTATAAATAATAATTATTAGAAAAGTTGCTTAGCTTTTGAGTCGCCCAAAATTCTTTCGGTATACTTTTTTATTACCTAGAAGCAGCCTACGTTTACAAAGTTTACTAACAACCAAATCGGAGCGTGAACGTTTTCGAAAGAATAGCCCAAAACGGTTCAGACGCTATAAAGAAAAATGTTTATTAAACTATTATAATCGAGAGCTACTATTTACGGGCTTGCACAGCAAGTAATTACTATATGAAATAAAGTGACCATACCGAGATATCCGATGTCACAATTGCAACGGATGATACGGAAAATAGGAAAATACGTTTATTGTACTCTTACAAACTATCACAAACAGAAGAGTACATGGAAAAAGATCTTAATTCGTAAACTAATAGGGACTATAACTAAATAGGGACCGAACGAAAATTCAGAATCGATGAAATGACATATCTGTTACCGCGACCAGAAATATTCGTCTGAACGTATTCGGCCGCTTTGAAACTCAATTGAGACAGCTAAGTGCAATTAACGAAACAAAAACCTAAATGAATCTTTCTCCTCCTGTAACCGAATTTCCGTCTGTGGTCGCCAGATAACAGAAAACCGAGTATTTTTTTTCCGTATACAATAAAGTTCCAATATCCACAGCCTATGTTGTCACTTCTGCTTCTGTCATAACCGATTATCGCGCAAACCTGCCAATAATGGCTCTCAATCGTAACAATTTACTACGCTCTGAGAAGCGTATTTCACTTCATCGTGTCGTTTCATTTGATTATGTCTAAACCATTTTGCAATAAATTCTGCAATCGCAGGTGCAAGAGCTGTCTCGGCGATTTTTCACCCAAGTTTCGGAATAAACCCGTTTTGTCCAATGGTAGAATTCCCTCGCTGAATAAAACGGCTGCATCTCGAAAGTTGCGCCGAAAATAGCGAACAACCTTCCTGTCCACGATCGTACACCGAATATCTTCCCTTTGTCGCCAATTATAATCGTGCAACGATTATACTTGGCAAGCGGTAGTATCGTACGGGAATCGCTGTCGTAACGCGAGAATGCCTCCCACGAAGCCACGATAATTACGATGCACGAAAACCAGAAGAACTCTGCAAAACAACGTTGCATACGGGGCGCTTCTTTTGTCTCCTCTGATTTCACTCGATAAACGTGCAACGACAATAGCACCGGCTATTGCGGAGTGCGGCTTATATTACGACGGAAATCCGACATTGCTGCAAAAGACTTTGCCGTCACTGAGCGATCACATTGATGCAGCAGATTCTAAACGCGCTTCTAAACGTTAACATTTTCCGATTATTAGCATCTTCCGATTATTGCTGACAATTCTTGCTGCTGCTGCAAATACTTGTTAATTGCGCATATCGCTCGAGCCGCATGTCATTTTTTCTCTCCTACCGTCGTTCGCAATTAACACATTTATTTTCATTTATCGCGGTATGATCAATGATGGTTATTCATTAAGTGTAGATTAAATCTTTGCTTGTTTTTTTCCCTCGGATAAAAATAAACGTGTTTTCCGACCGGAATCACTTTATAACGGCCGCGTGAGATTATTTCGCGAAAATATTCGTAGTTTCGTATTTCGGATTTTGCACATGCTGCTTGTTTCCGGCTGTCCTTTTGCGAGAGAGCAATTATGAAGATAAAATATAAAGGGCGGGATGTGGAGTTACCGAGTGACTTCGTGGATAAAATAATGATCCGCAAAGTGCTCTTTATTCTCGACGGGTTCTGCAAAAGGTGGAATACGAACGTAGGGGTTTCTTTTAGAAAAAGAATTCACTGCTGCGTCACATGTACACACACACACACGTCGTACTCACACGCACTCACAGCTGCATACGCTCGCGTCACGTACGTATAATACGCGATACATGTACGTAACTACATAAAAAATGCAAAGTCGGGCGAACGTTGAAATTAGCTTGTGATTTTGTTGCTTCTTATTTTCGTCGAGACATAGTTGCATTATAAGAAGCTGAACTATAAAAGACGCGCGATTAACGATTAACGCTCACACACGTTCGTTGAACGGAGTTATTGCCTCCGAGGAGGAAGGCAAGTCGCCATTCTTTCGCACGTAGCGAGCTTCCCGCTGAAAAGGGATTTCGCTCCGGGCTGTGCGCGCTGCGAAATGCAGCAAATTGCGCGGAAAATTTCGTTACACTTTCTCGTACTCGCGCGAGCACTCCGCTGATGGGCTTCCGCATCTTGCTTGCTCGACATTTCGGCTGTGAATCACTTCGCCGCCGCCGGATGGCGCGCGCGCGCGCGCGAATGAGTAGGCGTATGAACCAGGCTTTACGCGGTATTTCGCAGAAATACGCGACGTGTCGCCCACACTGCGCGACTACATGTGAAACGAGGATGTATCGACGTATTTTTCCGAAGTGTGTCGTACAAATGTAAGCCTGCCTACTTGTGATACGCGTGTTACCGCGATCGTGCGCTTAACCTTCCGGTTTATACACGTTGACCTCAGTGGGCCAAGGTCCGCCTCGGCAATCGGGGATTTCGTGTGTCCGCAGTCACTTCCAAAACCATTACCTATTCTTCATTACGTGCACACACATACGTAGAAATTCTCGCGGACCAATTCGGAATCGATTTCTCCACGAAGAAGATATGTCGAGATGTTCTTGCCTTGCCGTCTGTGCGATCAACAAAAAAGCGAATACAATTTTCATTCAAAGCTTTATTGCGATGATAGAGGAAAAATTCGGAACCACATGATTCGTCCATGATTTGATATTTTTTTCTCTTCTTTTTATTTTTCTTAAACATGCGCATATGAATTTTTCTTGCGGGTCAATTCGGAATCAATTTCTCCGCGAAAAAGATGTCGAGGTGCTTCTTGAGTAACAAACGATCGAGTATAAATAACGAATGAATTTTTCATTCGAAGCTTCTTCATAAAGATAGAGAACATAAGAATTGAAGAGAACAGGTAAAATTCGTCGACGTATTGACATTTTTTCTATTACTGCTTTTTTTAAGTATAAATTTTCAGATTCATAGACAGATTCGGAATCGACATTTCTGCGAAGAAGACGTCGAGATACTTTTGTTTCTTGAGCGATCAACGA